GTGTTGATCCCATCCTCTCCTGCAGCAGTGCATTGCGTACTAGTCGTGCAGTCTTTAGAAATGCTCCCCCTCCCCACCCTACTTACATGTACATGTAGGTCACGCCCTACTTTAAGTTGAACTGTCATCATGAGTGTCGCAGGCCACTCAGTGTTAATCCCACTGTCCCATCTCCCTTTCGTACATGTAGTTTAGCCCTTCATTGTGATTTGTAGTACTTTTTGTATTTATTTTGTTTTGTGTTCTAGTGTCCATGACTGTATAGTTGTACCTTGGAGCATTTATATGGAGTTGGCGCTTTATAAATGTGTTATTATTAAATATTATAGCCACCAAGTTTCTAATTTTCCTACCTATTGTGAAGTGTAAAGTAACGAAATTTAGTTCATTACTACTACATGTACATGGACCAAGAGAGGGCGTAATTGCCCTTGCAGTGGAGGCTCGTTTGGGGCACTGCACTTTGCTGTTTCACAAATGACTATGAAATGCATGCAGGATGGGGGCCTTGCTACCAGCTCAGCTTCTGCTCAAGGCGGACACAGTCCTGGATGTTAGAACTAATGTGGGGATGTGGCTCATAATTGATTATTCCACCTCTGCGAGAGGCAGAACAGCATTTGACTAAACCGGTCTCCAGTTCATTTGCTATTTTAGCAGGAAGGTCACTAATGGTAATGAACATGCACAATAAGCGTTGCTTGTCAATTATGACAGTTACGACAGGTAACTTGTTTTTACATGATCATGATCTAGTTTGTAAATTTATGCATTTCTGCCTAATCTGTGGAAGTGCCAATTCACAGATTATGACTGTCACTACTTCCCATTTTGTAACTTCCCTTTTGTCTGTGTTCCTGCAGCCATTAAATGAATCTCCCTACAGAGAACAAGACTTCAGTCCAGCAGTGCGAAATGCCTGTCTCGCCAAAAAAACAGGAACTGTTGGGTAAGTCATCTTGAAAACTGAGAATCTGGTGCTGAAAGCTAATTTTGCAGATTTTGCTTGCCGAAATGTTCACTGGTTTAGGTGACTTCATAGGTGGCTGTCTCTTTGTCAGTCAAACGAAATTTGCATTGCAGCATTAGACCAAACTTTATATGTGACCTGCTCTGTGAAGATGAGTCATACGTCGCCAGAGCCACGTTTTGAGTTTTTATTTGTATTGAAAAGAGCAAATCAAGCTTTTTGTTTTGATGTATCACTCAGTTTGGTATTTCGATGAAAGTGGATACTCCATGGTGAAAAATGCTGTTGGTTCCTATTGATTTACACTCTGCAAAAATATTCTAAAGGACTTTTTACTCCGTAGTGGCTCTGCCGACTTGTGACTCATTTTCACAGAGTGGGTCTCATATAGTCTTGAACAATTTCTGTGTTGGGTGACTTCAAAATGTTTTGGAATTTTGCAACTTGTATGTTCGTGAAATCTGATAATGCTGTTTATCATTTTGTTCAGACTAAAGGTGTCCAAAATGATTGTGGTGGGCGATGTTTCAGTTGGTAAGACCTCCCTCGTCAATCGGTTCTGCCATGAATGCTTTGACCGAGACTACAAGGCAACCATCGGTGTCGACTTTGAAGTGGAAAGATTTGATATACTTAGTGTCCCCTTCAACTTACAAATGTGAGTCGAGAGGTAGACACCAACATACTTTTAAGGGCATTTCTCTCACATTTTTTAGATTTTTCTTTTTTACCATTCCGTCTGTGAAACTGTGAGAATGAAACACTGCAAGATTGTGACTCAAACCTCAAACTCCCCATAACCCTGAGCTGCTACTTGTAAGTCAACTATCTTTCCTGAGAAAGCCCTATGGCCCAGTTTTAGTTGGTTTGAGTCTACCCACAAAACTCTTCCCACAAATTGCAGAAAGCAATGGTTCAAAGTTACAGTATTAATATCCACATCACCTCGGAGCAAAGTGCCGTCAAATTTGTTTGGTTATTCTCTCGTAGAACCTAAACTCATATGCTGTTTCATTTTTTCTCAGATGGGATACAGCTGGTCAAGAGAGGTTTAGATGTATAGCATCAGCTTACTACAGAGGAGCACATGGTAAGTATGATTATTTGCAGGGGAAAAAAATCAATATTTTTGGGGCAGTTGACATTGTCAAATTGAGAAATTGTCAATTACTTGCAAAACCCAATATCAAGATGTAGCATAGCTTGCTTGACCACTTCCTGCCGGGCGACCTGTTTTCGAGTGCGTAGGCTTTATATGCAGAGCCAGGGAGCCCGGAATTGGGCCAAAAGAGTTGGGCCTTATAACAAAAGACCATGCTCAGCACCAAAGACTGAGCTGCTGGGCATTACTGACATTTTTTTGCTCTCAATAGTGGAGATAATCCAGCCTTGTTCTGAAACAGTATACCATGGTTTGAGGCATTTATAGCGAGCGGATTACCACCGGGGACAAAAGCTCTCCACTACCGCAGCGATGAGTCACACAGCACCGCTTCAAGCTAATCTGGCCCCTATGGACAAGAGGTCAGCAGTACACCGTGCCGGTTTCGGGAACAAAAGAATCTTACGTAAAACACCGCACAATCTGGGCTCTTTTTCCAAGGCTGCAGGCCTGGCTGAAATATCCAGGACCCGGCATCTTGTCTTACTCAAGAAAAATCCACCCGGCAGCAAGTGGTTCATGTATTAACACTTGTAATATATATAATTTCTATTCAAAAGAGGCCACAGAACTCAAGTTGTTGTGCAATTGTATGAATTAACCACCCACCAGCAACCAATTGCCTTTGGACGCTCAACAGTAAGGAAATTGAATACATGTACATGAATAAAAGATTCAAAGACCACATGTCTATTTTTTAACGATTGCAATGTACTCAAACGACTGTACAGGTGTATTTAAATCAAATGTTCACAGACAGGCTGGAAGTCTTTCGTGTTTGAGAATGGGAGGGAACTGGTTTTGTTGATAAGTCAAAACAAACAGACAGAATCCCAGCAAATGAACAAACAAATAGAAACAGAAAGGATGTACATTTGGTTGATGAGAATATCCTTAATTACCCAGCCCACTACCCCAAGATACTGTCTGCTGTGAATTCCATAAGCACCAGTTGCATTCATTTGCAGTTGTTGTGATCGTATTTGACCTGATGGACCCATACTCATTGGAGAGCGTGTCCAGGTGGCATGAAGAAGCTCTAAGGGAAAACAGTGGCTGTGTCCATCTCTTCCTCGTTGGAACCAAGAAGGATTTATGTGTAAGTGGCATTGACTTCAAAGTTTCCTTCGTGAATGAAATGAGGAGGAAAATAGGACAGAGTTTACTGTGGTGACCTTTAATTTTTTGGGGGGTGGTTAAGGTTTCTTTTCTTCATTGATGTAATATATCTATGCTCACTACATCTCAGAGTTTTTGAGAGTATTTGAAAAGCTTGCTGGTAGCAGACCCAAATGCATATCCTCTTGGTCAATAGTGCAGGCATTGTAACCACTACACCCAACCATCAAAGCTGTGGGATTCAATTGGCTTATTTGAACTCGATGCAGCAGAAAGTACCGCAGTCTACCGTTTGATTGAGTTTTACTGACCAGTTCTCTTTCAATCAATCTTTTGTTGCATGAATGAAATTAACTTAAGTGACCATCCAACCTTGCCCTGCAGTCGTATGCACCTGGACACATCTTCCCCAAGTTCCTTTTTGTTTTGGTGAAAGTTTGACAAAAATGATCAGAGAATTGTCAAATACGTTTAAGATGTCTTGTATAATACCAAGCCTGTTTATGGATGCTCGCAATCAACAAAAACAAACAAGAGCTTTCGTTGGAATAATACGTGGTGAGTAGTTGAAGACTAGCATGTAGATGTAACATGGTGCCCTTTCACAGCCAGTGGTGTTAGTGCTGCGCTTGGAGCTGCTCTCACGATGTTCTGTCCCATTTTGTTCCCCGTGTGTTTTCAGTCTAAGCAGCAATTTCAGGAAGCGGAGGAGAGAGGCTTCAAGATGGCCCAGCAAATTCAAGCAGAGTATTGGGTTGTCTCCTCATTAACAGGTCAGTGCACTTTCTTCATGTACATGTTTCACAAAATATGGACCACCCCCCCCCGAAAGAATCCATACTCTGACTGTTTTTCTCATCATTGAAACCTACTTGTCTTAACACCTTTGCTGGAAACCTTTTTCAATCCCTCAAGATCCTCCTCTGTGGGGAAAACCAACATGGCACATTCTTTGCAATGAACTCACACGTACAAGTAGAATCAGTTCCTGCATACTGTAGTGGTGGCTAGACTGAAAATCCCTTAATCTTACAAGCATCTTTGAAAAACCAACAGATTTTGAAGGATCAGGGAGGGTCCTCTGCATTAATTGGGCATTTTTCGACAATCTCATCAAAACTTTAAACTTGATGCGAAGTGATTTCCTTCTAAGGCACAGACAGTTGCTCCTCATAATATCCAAAGTTTCCAACTGATCAATTTCTCGTAGCTTTCCCCATTTCCATCTACCATCCAAATGTCACAACTTTCACTCATTTCGTCCCAAGGCGAGAATGTCACCGATTTCTTCTTCCGCGTGGCCTGCATCACGTTCAACGCGGCGGTCAGTAGGGAGGTGGATGACATGGATCTCAAATCGAAGAAGATTGCCGTGTCCACCGGGAGTCACCTCATCAGTAAGTCACACGGAAATGTCTCAATCAGTCCATCCTTGTCCAAGTTCGGTCAGAGGTAATCCCTGGTGCCCAGGATGCATTTGATGCATGGGTACCAGGCAAACTGAGCCAGTGGTTGGCAAATGGGTGCTTATCAAACATGGCCCTGATCATTTTACCCTTCTGGATGGCACTTAATTCCAAAACTTACCTTTTGATTTTATGCAGAAGACATGTTATATATTCATTCTCATAACTTTCTGTTGGTAGTTAAGATCAATTCTAGAAAATAAAATGGGGTTAAAATGTTTTAAAAACTTGGTCCTTCGACAGGGTATTCATTATTTCCAACGAACGGGGAGCGGTGTACAAGTCCCAAGTGTTTGTGAGTTCAAAGTTAAGATAATCTTGTAAGGTGAAAGATGGAAGGAAACATTTCATTTTCCACTGAGCAAAGTCATTCTTCTTTGTCATTGTTGCAAGTGATATTGCACCTTGGTCAGCCCAACGTTTGTTCTTTGTCAGAAAATCTTTGCCCCACAACAAATTTGTCCTCATACTAATTTATACTTTAACACAAATGTGGTCCCTACAGCTGCGATGCCATTATGGACTAAAGTGCACCTGTAGTCTGTCATCCATTAAACGTAACCATGCTGAACCCGAACAAGGTTATGCAGG